ATTGTCCCCCTCAGCAAGTACACTTCCCCTACATCATTTATGTCTGTCCCCTTCCCTCTCCTCCCCTCCCAGTCTGCAGAGAAGGGAAAAACAGACCCTAGGCTGTGGGAGGAGATCCTGCAGGGGGCCGGGATGGAAGCCCCGCCCATGCTGCTTCTCCCACAAGGGGACATTCACTGAGTAGCCTCAGGAACAAGGCAGGAGGCCGGGTCCAGAAAAAGGTCATTTTGGCCTCCAAGAACCGGGGAGCAACAGCTGCAGAAGGAGCAGGGGATTTGGAAGGTGTAAATGTCCCCAGCCTGAAGGAACACAGAGGAAAAGGCAAGGAGTCCAGAGTGGCCATAGCTGCCATTTATTATCGAGCCCTGATACACTACTTTGCTAAGCAATTTCCCTGCATTATCACCTTAAATCCACCTAGGTTAGGCTGGCTTCAAACTCACAGCCTCCCCCTGCCTCAGCTTCCTTAGTGCTGGGACTATAAGTGTGTGCCGCCATGCCTGGCTCCAAATTCAGAATTTATTAGCCCTGTTTCATAGCTGGAAAACCTGATGCTCACAGAGTTTATGCTCACCAAGAAGCAGACCGTCCAGCTTGAGAGGCCACGGTCTTGGATACACTGACCTCTGCAGCAACCTCTCCAACGGGAAAAGGCTTCCATAGGGGGTGCCTACTTCTCTCGAGATCCTGCCAGCCTGATGTCTGCCCCATTTCCTCTTCCTTCCCAAAGACCAGGCTCCTTCATATCCCAAACGACCGACTCCAGTCAGGACTCCCAAAGTTACCTGTCCATTAAACACACTTCTGTGGCCAGGCATTGGCAGGCCCTGAGCAAGGGTCTTTGAAAGGGACAGAAAGGGAATCAGAGCCAGAGAGACACAGAACCAGGGTTGGGATGGGGCAGAGTGGGTGGCAGGTGAGTGAAGGGGGGCAGTGGACACCAGACTCCAGCAGTCTGGGCATTAGAGCGGCTGTTGCATAAACTGAGCGGCGACAAGATGGGTGGAGGTGAAGGCAGGGACTCCCACTCCAGCTACCCGAACTTCACCGCCTCCCACCCTTTCTTCTTCACACTGCATCTCCTCCCTTCCCCCACTGTCCTCCTCTTCTCCAGAACAATTCTAATTAAACTAAGTGACTAAGAGGTGGTTTCAGCCTGCACAGCCAATTAGGCCTGAAAGAAGGGAGAGAAGCTCCCCTAAGCCCCCCACCTCTGCTTAGCCCCCTCTTCTGCCTTCTGCCCCAAGCCAAGGATTCTCATCCCAGAAGTGCACCCAGACATTCAGGTTCCAACTTCTCCGTCCCTGTCCACTACCCCCTACTCCCCACGTCCAAACAGTCCCCAGCACTTTCTTAGCCCCCACCCTGAGCCCTCCACACTTAAGTCCAGAGTCCACTCATGTCTTCTGGGCTAGGGGAGCAGGGGAAGGGTAGGGTCCTCCTCAGGAAGGTATTTTTCTAAGTCTCCTTATTTCTGATGTTCCTCTCCTCCTCCCCACCCCCTTCCTCTGGCACTTATTTCTAACATCTATGGACCAGGCCTCCCGGTTGCCATGGAGACGCAGCGTGCAGCTGGATGGTGAGTGTGTGAGGAGCTGTGTGTGCTCTGCAGCAGGGGCGGTTGGCTCTGTGGGAAATGTATCCGTGTGTGGGAAACGTTCTTCAAGGGGGAACTGGACAGGGACCCAGGTCCCTTCTCGAAGTGAGACCCTGGCTAAGGGGGAGACTCCCCAAGACCTCAACCTCTGAATGCTTTGCTTTTGGCACTGTTCCTGGGACACATCCTTCTCCAGACCCCTGGGGATCAAATACTAAATCCTGCAGTCCAGACTCTAGATAGGTAGGTTCTGAAGGGGCCCACCCTGCCCCTCCTGCCTAGGAAATGACAGGGATCCCTAGAAGAAGAATAGGAATGAGCAGGGCACATCTTTTTTTTTGGGGGGGGGCTTTAGAACAACTGGAGTAAGATGCAGCTGGGCAGATGGGCTGACCAGTAAGAGGCCAGCGACTTAAGGGAGGAGGGCTGGTTCAGCAAACATGAAATTCCCCCCTTCTATCATTTCACCCAGATACACTCAGAAGGTTAGGACACATAAGAGATCGGGGTAACTGCCCACAGAAAGCTTAGCACCTTTGTGGACTCGGGTGAAATTCTGTCTTCCACTGCAAGAGTTTTGCAGCTGTAATTTCTTGTACCTGGAATGTTCTCTTCTGAGCTTCAAACCTTCAGGTTTCTTCAGAGAAGCTTTCCTGCCTATGATAAGGCCACCCTTTCCAAGCCTACCTTCAGCTATCTTCCTCCTTCAAGTCCCACTGTTTGTTTCCTTCACAGCACTTTAACACCATCTATAATTATCTCATTTGTTTGTTTGTTTATTGTCTTGTGTTCACCACTGGAATGTAAGTTATAGGGTAGAGAGATAAAGCGAGAGACAGAGAGAGAGAGAGAGAGAGAGAGAGAGAGAGAGAGAGAGAGAGAGAGACCCTGACTGTCTTACTATCTTAAGGCCAGCATCTGGCACAGGGCTTGCCATGTAGTATTACATACATATTAAATAAAAGCGGACAATGGTTTCCATTGAAGTCTCACAGCAACTCTCATTATCACTCCCATTTTACGGATGAATAAACTGAGGCTCAGCCAACTGTCCAAGGTCATGGAATGAGGAAGTGGTAGAACCAAGGCTTTGCTTTTCTTCATATTTTTGTGTCTTGAAACAGGGTGTCCTTTGTATTGCTAGCTGGCCTCAAACTTACTGCCTCAGCCTCCCAAGTGCTGGGATTACAGGTCTTCGTCACTTATGCCTGGCTTCTAGAGCCAGGTTTCTTTTCGTGTGTGCGCGTGTGTGTGGTGCTAGGGATCAAACTGAGGACCTTGTGCATGCAAAGCAAGGGCTCTACCACTGAGCCACAACTCAGCCACAGAGCTGGGTTTCTTTTCTCTCTCTCTCTCCCTCTCTCCCTCTCTCCCTACCCCCCCTCCCGGAACTGGGGATTGAACTAGGCCCTTGCACTTGCCAGGCAAGTGCTCATTCTACTGAGCCATCTCCCCGGCCCCTCTTTTCTCTTTTTTGGTGATACGGGGAATCAATCTCATTACCTCACACTTGCCAGGCAGGCACTGTGCCACTGAGCTATATCCCTGGTGCCCAGATCCAGGTTTCTGATGTAGGTTTCTTTGACCCCAGATGTGCTAGAAAGAGGGCACACCCTAACCAACTAGCAGCATACCTACGTTCCTCTTCCTATCTACCTGTATGTGTCTCCACTCCCAAATACAGGGTCTTGAAGGGACAAGACAGAATCCATAAAGAATGTAAATGATTTTCTTTCAGGGACTTAGGATCCTTTACTGTCCCCTCCAGTTTCCTAATTCTTAGGTTAACTAGCGGGTTCCCTTAGTTCTGGTCCCTGGCTTCCTCTCCAAATTCTCTTGCCTCCGAACCACCCCACCTTCTCCTCCTCCACCTCCTGGCCCTTGCACACACCAGACTCCACCAGCCCTGTTGATCTCTTCCTCTGTGAATTTTCTTCCATCTGCCCTCGAAACTAAACTCTGGCTCCACCCCTTCCAGGAAGCTTTCTGGACTCTTCAGCCTGACTTTCCGGTGGTTCAAGGCAGGGCAGAACACATGATGTGGTCATTGTTTACCAGTCTACCCTTCCTATAGAGATTATGTGTCATTTTTTTTTTTTTTTAAATGTGTCATTCTTGAAGTGTCACTGTGCTGGCCTGGCACAAGGGAAGGGCTCAGGAAATGTTTGCAGAATGAGTAAATGAACCAGGCTTGGGATTCTGGTACCCAGGAGGCCACCCCCTTCTCCCCAACTCTCTTGACACCTGACATGGTTTTCTGGACTCGCCTTAAGAGGGGGGCTCCTCTTCCTCCAGAAATCAGGCCTCAAGCTTGGGGCTTGTCATCAGTGCCACTGTAAGTTTGGTTTGTCATTCTGTTGATAGGGGACTGGGGAGGGGGTGTGACTGACTGAACTAGGAGCTCACCTACCACTTGTGGATTCAGAGGGTTCCACGGGGCCTCTGCCCTTTCTTCCCTCCACCTTCCTCCCAATGCCAAGGTTGTGCCTAACTCTAAAGAGCCTTCTTCACTGCCCCTCCACCGCGCCCCCTCCGCGCTGCACCCCAGCCACACTTCTGTGCAAAAGTCGCAAGAAGATCTGGGGTGGGCTCCAGGCCCCGCGATGTCTGGCGTCTGGGAATGGATGAAGGGGCGCCAGCGACCCCGCCGAACCAGCAGTCTATCCGGGTTTACACGGAAGCTCATCCGGGATTAGTCCCTGCGCTCGGCTAATCCCGGCGGCTGGATCGACCCGAGGCTGGGAGCGAGGCCCAGGCGGCGCGGGCCCGGGCGAGGAGAGCTCGCGGCTGCGGAAGCGCGCGGGGCGCGGGGCACGGGAGCGCGGCGAAGGAGGGGCGCCCCGGAGGGCGGGGCCGGGAACCCGCTGATCCGGTCTCTGTTCCCAGACCTCCTTGGAGCTGGTGTTTACACCTGAGCCGAGCGGAGGAGGCGGAAGCCACTCCAACGCAGTCGGAGACCCGGGCTGAGACCTTTTCGTCCCCTGACCCAAAGTCGACTTCCAATCTACGCTCCTGAGCGTGGGAGGAAGCGACAGACAGACAGATGTCTCCCGTCCCTTCTATCCTGTTTCGTAGTTCTGCTAGTTGCCGGAGGAGCGGGGAGTGACCCACCAGGCAACAACCGCAGCACCTCGGACCCCGCTGGAACGCCGTGGGGGCGCCGGGTGGAGGTGGCGGCGCAGCCGGGAAGCACTTGAGCTCCTTGCGGAGGGGGCGCACGGAGCTGTACGCACGAAGCGCTTGTCAGCCTGTGACCCCTCACCCCATCTGCAGTCACCCAGCGCTCCCAGGGTGAGCAGGTCTCTGCTCAAGGCCCCTTCAGTCCTCTCCAAGGCCTCCACCCCAGACTCAGCTCCATTCTCCTCGGGACGCAGACCCGGGGCTTGGAAGAAGCGGAGTGGGGTCCGGTTTTCACACTTTTATTGTAAAGCTCGGGAATAATTACACGGGTCTTTCATTGACAGCTCAGCAAACAAACCGGAAACGAACCGAACCGGAGGGGGTAGGGGCGGTGCCTGCGCATGCTCGCGGCGAGGGGAGGTCAGAGAAAGAGAAAGACAGAAAGAGACAGAAATCATTACAAATCAACGGGATTGTGCTCGCAGCGCCAGGGATGGGGATGGGGTGGGGTCCTTCCCAGGAGGAGCGAGGCGGTGGGAAGTGGCACGAACCAAGAGAAACACGACCCCAAAGTGGGCACCCGACGCGCCCAAAACCCCCCTCCCGACCCCACCCCGACACACGAGAGAGACACGGCCCCCCTCCCCACTCAGATAACCCAAGGAGACACAGTCTCCTCTTCCCCATGGGCAGACATACGCCTCGGGGGCGAGACGCAGTCCCCACTCCCAGAGAAGTCCCGCTCAGAGATGCCCCCTAAGAGACCTTCTCTCGGCCAACACGAGCCCTCCCCACAGCAGGAGACAGCCCCCATCCGGGGAAGAAATGGCTCCGGAGGTCCCGCCCTCAGGAGAGAGGTATCCCTGGAGCCTCTAGGAGAAAAGAACCCAGAGATAACCAGCCTCATCCCAAAGTGCTTCAGGGAAGACACCCCGATAGGAGAGATGGGGAGGGCCAGAAACATCCCTTCCCGGACAGCTTCAGAGATAGCCCCTTCCCTGGGAAGAGAGATGGCCCAAGACTGACTTGTCTTAGGTACTCCCAGAAACCCTGGGAGGAAAACAGGCTCCCCAGAGAGCCTGGGTAGGGAGGGGAGACATGCTCCCATGGTTCCCTAGCGGGAATACATGTTCCCCAGAGATTCCCAAGAGGAGATGTAGGGGCTAGAGAGCCCCCAGAGGTCACGGATGCCCCGAGGCACCCCCCCCCCAGGTGGAGATGTTTCGGGGACCCTGGGAGAAAAAGATGTCCCCATACACCCTCTATCTAGAGACATGCTCTAACGTAGGGGGTTGAGGACCAACTAGGTCCCCTCTAGGAAGACACTGACTGGGTCAGGCTGGGTTTGGGGGGGTCTCCTCTGGCCAAATGTCGCCTATTGGTACATAAAACTGTACTTGACACAAGGCATTGGGAAGGGGCTTCACAGACTTAGGACCAACAGGGATAGTCCCCAGTGCTGTCACCCATCCCCTGCCCACCTTTGGTTTCACCTCATGAGTGCCCAGGTGGTGACAGACTTAGCACCCTGACCCCAACCAGGGGGCCATGGGGGGGCTCTGCTTTTGTCTGTGGGAAGGACTTCTGCTCTGTGCTTCTAAGCCCTCCCGTCCACCCAGACTACCCCCTTCCTTCTGGCTTCTCCATTGTGCAAATTGCTCCTCTGCCCTTCCACTCAGTGCTTGGGCGTCTCCAAGGCCAGGGCAGGGTACCCAGGCCATCAGGGGCTTCCTGCAGGGGTCTGCCGACCCCAGGGATGCCTCTTGTCCAGACCACCTTCACCAAGCAAACGGGCCTCATACAATCTTTTTGCCCCAATCCTGACCTCTGGGACCCAGGACAGCTCTCGAGTCCACTGCTCACCAGCTGGGCACCTCATGCTACCAACTCTACCACTATTGCACCTGCCCTGTTTGTGTGTGTGTGTGGGGGGGGGGAGGCTGTCTCTTTAACAGGCCCCCAGCCCACTTCTTGGGCCTCCCCTAGGGAAAGGCGCCTTTGGCCAACCCCCTGACCTGGTTGCTGCCACCCAGCCCCCTCTGCCTACTGCCCTCCAGGGAAGGGCTGTGGGTGCTGGGGCCACCAACCCAACAATGCCCTCCTTCCCAGCACTGTTCTCCCAAACCAAGTCAGAGGTGAGGGATCAGAGAATAGAGTAATTCTACAGCCCTCCCTGGCTTTTCTGGGGTGGAGATGGGATCTCTGGGGTTACAGGAGTCAAACCCCCAGCAGCACAGCTCCCAAAGGCACCAGACAACCCAGCAGCCTGTACCCACCCCTCCGCACTTGGGCCACTCCCCCAAAGTTTAGACGAAGTCCAGCAAGGGCCATACCCTGAGTCTCCAGCCTCCCAGCCTGGGCCCCTGGGGAGCTGGAAAGGTATGGACCAAGGCAGTGGGGTTTCTGGAAGGAAGAGAGGCTTTGAGATGGCCACAGTGGGAGATGGGGGCTCAGCAGGATGCCCCTCACACCCTGGCCCCCTGAGGTGAAGGAAAGAACTTCACCTCATCATGGCTGACTGGGCTTCCCTGCCCCCCAATCTCCCTCCCCCTCCCCCATCGGACCCCTGACCCTGGCAAAGGGAAGCCCAAATGGAAGAAGGGGGCCTGGAGCCCGGGGTGCCCTGAGGCAGCCCTTCCCACCCCCTGAGATCAAGGCAATGGTGGTTTTACAGGCTGAAGGGTCAGTCATGGCAGGGGTTGGGGGCTGGGGGGCAGGGAGGGGGAGGGTGCCATCCCCCATTCAGAGGCAGCAACTGGCCACCCCCTGAGCAAACCTTCCTGCTCCCAACTCACCCAACCAGGCCAGAGGCACAGTCATCCCACCCCTGTCCAGCTGCCCCCCACAGCCTCAGGGCCCCTCTGTGATGCTCACATGGATGTGGGAGGCCAGCCTGAGCTGAGCGGGGATCCCCCCCAGGGCACAGCGCAACAGTTCCAAAAAAATAGAGATTTGTATTTTTAAAAAAAATTAAATAAAAGCCCAGCTCTGCTGATAGGCAAATGTTACCCTCATCCCCACCCCCACCCACCCATTGTTTCCCTGGCCTGCACCCCCACCCCACCACGGCCCCAGGGGTATTTACAACATGGAACAGTAGAGGCCTGGAGTGGGGAGCACTGCGGCAGGGCAGAGGGGCACAGGGCAGGTCCCCCCCAGGGGGGTCCCCCAAGACAACACAACATCAACGAGAAAAGTTGCAAATCAGGCAGAAATGGGGACATCATTCCAAGGTCCTTATATACAGACACTGCATGACCAGCAGGGAAGGGGTGGCCCAGATGGGACCCAGCATGGGCACGTGGCAGGCAGGTGGGCCAGCCCAGGAGCAGTGCTGGAAGACAAGGCCTCCGCCCCACTCCCACCCCATCCCGCCCCTCCTTTGGTAACAAAAGCCCTTCAGGGAGCCCCTGGTGGTCAAGAGTTTCCTCTGGGGGTTCCCAGGGAGAGGGGCTCCCCAGTTCAGCCCTGCTTCCAGACTGAAAAGGGGCACGCTGTCCCCGCCCTGGTCGGCCATGCGGGAAACAATGAGTTGAAAGTGTGCTGCCCACCCTGACTCCACCATCTGCCCAAAGTGAGGGGTGCTCCCTGGAAGTTGACAGGTGGGAGCCCAGTCATTGCAGAGGAGCCCTCTTGGGCATCTGGGAGGAGCCCTAAAAGGGGAAGAAGGGGCTCCCGGGAGCTGTGGGATGGAAACAAGGAAGAGGACCTGGACCCTGCATGGGGAGGGGCCAGCGTGGTTATGAGGCTAGTATTCCCCCCCACCTGGGGCGCTGGCCACAGAGTCCACGCTGGAGGGGTCACGAATTGGGCCCTGAGATGGGCCCGTTTGGGAGCTGGCCGGCAGCCGGGGAAAGGGGTGGCCAGCCGGCCAGGAGGGGGCTCACAGGTAGATCTCACGCTTGGCCGTCTGGGCAGATGCCTGTGTGGCTGTAGGTGGGAAGTCCGAGGTCTGGGTGAGGGGGATTTCCTCCAAGGTGGCCGAGTCCTTGCAGGAATCATGGCTACTGTGGGAGAAGGCACTGTAGGAGGGCAGGAGGCGCACGGGGGCCGTTTTGGTGTTCCGGTCTTCCGGGGGGCTGGGGCTGCCGGCGCCCGCAGGCTCCTGCCCTCCTCGGTCCTGGTAAGGCACGAAGGTGGAGAGTTTGAGGGCGCTGCTCTTGGTCCGGCGGCTGGGAGACGACTGGCCAGGCATCCAGCACGTGTCAGAGTGGCCAAACTCGCTGCACTCCCGGGTACACGTGCCCGTCATGGCGACATCAGGCAAAGGGCGGAGGTCTGCAGAAGAGAGTGGGACAGTCATCAGGAAAGGCAGCCTCAAAAGGTTCTGCTCCCTGGCCTCCCACTGGCATCTGCATCCTGACTCAGAACAGGGATGCATAGCTGTCCTGCTCACTGAGCTCACAAGCACACACCCCTCAAATAGACCTATGCCCTCCTACTACCCACCCGAGGCCCACTGTGCTTTCTCCCTCCCTCTCAGACTCTCTTTCTCTCTCACTCTCTCTCTCTCTCCATAAATGGACACATTCCTTCGAGCCCCACCCTTTAGCACTGTTCTGCACACACACAAAATCTGCCACCGACAGGTGCACAAACACACAACTCATGTACATGCTCTGTCTCAACAGGCTTAAACATGCAATTCTACCCTTAGATAAGGCTGAGAAAATTCCATCCTCATTTAAGGACTCAACAGCTCTCTGCCTCTGTCACACACATACACACACAGATAGGCGTGGACATACAAGTTCCCTCCACTGGGCAACGAAGATGGGCACATACCTTCCTCCTACACCCCCTCAAGCCTCACATGCTCCAGCTGTCCTGAACCGCAACACAGTGTAGCAACACCTTGCTTCAAAGCCGGGGGAGGGGCGAGCATCTATGCGGGTGTCCGCACACAAGTACACTCACATTCATGCAGCCCCTGCCCACCTCACACCAGCCCCTCACCAGCCACCACCCTTGGCCTTGCCGCGGCTCCCTGCCCAGAATACCCGCAGGAGCAGGAGCTGGCCGACTGACATCAGCAATAGCCTGTATGGTTGCTGGGCAGCAGGGGGGTCTCCATGGGAACAGCTGGGCCATGAGCGCTTCCTGTCACAGCTGCCCCTGTCCCGCCCTCGCTCAGGGACAGCACCAGGCACGACCCCCCTCGGGGACATGATGGAGCCAGGAGCCACACTGCCTGGGGCAGGGGCTCCCCTGGCACCACCCACCCTGACTTGGCCTCCTGCCAGTGCAAGGTGAGGAGGGGACAGCTCTGTTGTTAACCCTCAAAATGCCAAGGCTCTTCAGCTCAGGGCAGAGTTGGGGGACCCAGTGTGGCACGGAGCACTGGGTGGGTGGGGCTGGGTGCTGGGCTGAGTCCCACAGACCCCAGACCCCAGAGCAGTTCCCACATACCTGGCACTCCGCCTCAGGGCCTGCTCCGGCCAGCCGGCTCTGCGCGGGCATAAAAAGGACGAGACGGGCATGAGATCACACATGGAGGGGCAGGTGGGGGCAGAGGGCACGCTGAGACCTAGGGCCTGGGGGTTTAGACAGGGCTGCTGACTGAGGGGTGTGGAGTGGAACTTTTCAACTTTGGGGCCATAGGACACTAGTATTAAGGCAGGGGTGAGACCCAGACAGTGCCGAGTCTCAGTTTTTCCAAGCCAAGGACTAGCTAACTCAGGTTCCCTTTCTCCACAGGCTGTCATGGCCACCTTCACGCCTACACACACACACACACACACACACACACACACACACCCCCTCCCAGTGCCCCGCCCCGCCCACGCCCACACCGGCCTCTGCCCCAGCCCACACTTCCCTCCTCTGTCATCCTCCACACTCCTCCCGCTGGGCCTTTTCACTCCAGAACTTCTCCCGCTTCTCTTCCCATAGGTCCCAGCGTCCGCTTCTCAGGGGGCCGGGGTGGGCCCAGTCTCTATCCTTAAGGCCCTTGAACTTCTCTAGGGGACCACCATCCACCTCAAGATTTCCTTAACATTACCTGAGCCTCTGGACCCCGTTCTCAGGTGCCTGTTACCAGACAGACAGTGTAAGGTAGTGCTGAATGCATGGTTCTGGGCTCAGAGAAACCCGGGTCGTAACCTCTCCCAAGTGTGTCGCTTCCTAGATGTGTGACTTTACCTCTTGGAGCCTCTGTTCCCTCCACTTTAAAGTTGCACAATCAAGTTCTCAGATAAGAGTGGTTGTGAGGAATAAACAAATATATACCCGAAGACTCAGCACGGCGATTACTACCAAATACACAAGAAGAACTCAATAAATGGAGGATATTTTTAAGGTCTTGTCACCAATCTCAGGCTTTTACGCATCCCTGGGGCGCCTTGGCCATGCTGACACTCCTCACCATTCTCGGGGTGCTCCATCTCTCCTATGCTGCCATCAGGGGTGGTGCGTTCATAGTGATCTTCAGGCAGGGCCAAAGGACCAAGTCGGGGCCCTGAGGAGGACTTGCTGGATGGTGTCTCAGACTCCTCCAGGCCACTGTCATAGTAACTGTGCTGGGATGGGTCTTGCAGCTCCTGGGCCTGGCTAGTGGCCGAAAAGGTGACACGGCGGTGAGGTAACTGCAGGGAGAGAGAGTGTCACTGATGGCCAGCCAACCTGCTGTACTGGGCCCATCACCACCCCAGGCGCAGCCCCAGCCCCAGCCAGGTACCTCCAGGCCTTAGCAACAACCAAGAAGAGGTCCAGCCAGCTAGCACAGCACAGACCCCGAAAAGCACAGGCTCCAGTAGAGGACTGCCCCTTAATTCCAGGACAGCTCGCAGTGCAGTTAAGTCCAAATGCTGAAAGTCTCGACAGAGCAAAGGCCCCAGGGTTATCAGAGCCACCACAGTAACCCTAATTCAGCACAGCCACGGGTTAGAGCATGGCCCTGCTAGTTCCAATCCTGCTTTCCAACATGGGCACAGCCTCGCTGTCATTTCAGAATAGCCCCTGACCCAGAGTAGAGCCCAACACCAATATAGTCCAATACCAGCTCAATCCCCTAGTCAGCACGGCCTCTGAACACCAGCATACCCTCCAACTTCTAGAACAGCTGCCTAAAAGCAGTAGAGCCCTAACTCCCACACAATTCTCCGGCGTAAGTCCCCTAATGTCCCCAAAGCGTCCTCCAAACTCCAGCTCCTCACCTGCTCACTGCTCTGTAACTTCCCATGGCCTCCATCCAAATGAAGTGGCAACCTCTTTCTCAGCCTCTGTTTCTCATCCCGGGCATGCAGCGCTGAGGCAGCCCCAGGACTCCCTGCTGAATGCCCTCCCTGCCAAGCCCCCAACCCCACTCATTCCGTTCAGGGAGGCCTTGCAAGGAAAAAGGATGGAAAGAAATGAGAGAAATCCTGTCACAATCCAGGGCACCTGGGTTGGGGCACAGAGCAATGAATACTTCGCAGTCCTCCAGAACAGGCAACAGAACATGGACTGTGGAGAGGGCAGGGCCTGCCTTGGGTGAGCCAGGTATGGCAGCCACCAAGGATTAGAAAAGTGGGCCTCAGATGATGTCTCCTTCTAGGAACTAGGAAGGAGGTGGGGGGGGGGGCACCAGCTTGGTGGAGCCAGACTTGAAGCTCAAATTGGGTATTGGAGGTCAGGAAAGTGGAACCATGACAGGCTCTCCCGGCCAGCAGCCCTGTCTGCCTGCCATGGGTTAATGATCAGCCCAGGAACCTGGCAACCTCAGCCGAGCACTTGGCTCAATCAGTGAGCCACCCAAACACCCACCTGGGACTGCCACTGGTTTTCCTGCCAACCAGAAATTAGGAGTTGTGGAGGGCACAGACCCAGGGCCCCTGGAGGCCAGAGGTGGGAGCCACAAGGCCCAAGCCCTGCTGATGAGTCCCCAGGCTCTGCCAACCCCAGCCTCTGGCAGTGCTCTGTCTTCTCAAGCCTTGATGAGAGGTTATGGCAAGGCCAGAGGAGGCGGTCCCAGGCTTGCAGGCCACTCCCAGTACCCCTCCCAATCTCCACCCCTCTGCAGGTTTTGAGCTCCAGGGAACGCAGCCCAGCCCACCTCTTCACAGCTTCAGGACCCTCCATTGTAATACCAAACACTGAAAAGACTGAGTGATAAGAAAAAAGTCCCCAGAGCTAACCTGTACATTTGGGGTTGGCAGGAAAACAGTCTACCTGTACCTGGGGTGAACAAGGAGGGCTCAGGAAGATGCAGAGCAGCAGGGCTCCGGGTGCTTCTCTTTGAAAGCTTTCAGAAGCCCTCCTTCACTACCGAGCCCACACCTAGCAACGCAAGGCTTGCCCACCAGGCAAGTCACCGAGGCTCTTTGCCTAGGATTCTTTTCTGGATAATAGAATTGGGTTATACTTAATGTTCCTCGTTGCTCTATATTATCAATCTTAAAAGCCAAGATCCAAAGTCAGTGGTAGACTCTACTCCTGAAGTTCCAAGCACTCCCTGAATATTGCTAATTGGCTGCCCCTGTGATCCTTCAGATGCAACATGTCTAAGATCAATTCTTTTTTTTTTTTTTTTTTTTTGTCCATCAACTTCTCGTAAGCAATGATCTGATCATTACCTCATCACCTACATTCAGGCAAGCGCTTATTCTACTGAGTTATCTCCCTGGGCCCCTTCACCTACATTCAGAAGAGTGATACTCACCTGGTAATCCTATGATCTTCCCTTTCCTTGCCCATCCCTACCCTATGTTCAAACTAACCTTTGAATCCAGTAGACACTTTCTCCCAAACCAAAGCTATCCACCCATCATCCTCTTTGCCACGCTTTCAAATTTTTTAAAATTATGTTCTGGTGCTGGGAAGTGAAGCCAGGTCCTCATGCATGCTAGGTAAGTGGTCTACAACTGAGCTACATTCCCAACCCTTTTTATTATATTTCAAGACAAGATTTCACTAAGTTGCTCAGGCTAGCCTTGAACTTATAATCTCCTTCTGCCTCATCATTACACCCTCTTAGTCCTAACCTTTGCAGTTCAATCTCCTGTCTGTCTGTCTGTCTGTCTGTCTGTCTGTCTGTCTGTCTGTCTGAATCAGTCTGGGCTGTCCTTGAACTCGCTATATCATGTCATGCTGGCCTTGAATCTGTGATCCTCCTGCTCAAGTCTTCAGAGAGCTGGGATCACAGGCTGGGCCACCACACTTGACTCTGGAGAGTCAATCTCATAACTTTAGCTCCACCCCTTTTTAAGTCCACCAGAGTGAACATTCTAAAATTCCGTTACTTCCATTTCCTCTTCAGTCTGGAACGGCATCACAGTCCTCCAGCCCACCTCTCAGCTCTCCTGTACCCTCCATGCCACCCAGAACACTCCCAGGGTGCTCAAAAGATGACCCCAGGCAAGAGGACTCTCAAACCAGCTCAAGGTTCATGTTCTCCTCCCAGTCCCATGTCCTTTATAGATTTCCTTCCACTGTGTTCCTCTGAGAAAGGGAGGGGACACTGTAGTCAAATAAATTGGACAGTAACTTTATTTTTTTGTACTGGGGATTGAACTCAGGACCTTGCACTTGCCAGGCAGCTGCCCATGCTGCTGAGCTATATCCCTGGTCCTGGTCAAATAAATTTGGAGGCTCAAGAGTTACACACAAGTTTTAGTAAGATCCCACTTTCTTGCCAGACTTCTCAGGACCTGTAATAGGCAAATGTGATAGTGACTTTCTTACTACTATAACTAACTTAGTCATGGAACCCATTTTTTTTTTTTAATAGCATAATAGATAATGGAAGACTCAGGGCTGGTGAGATGGCTCAGTGGTCTAAAGCACCTACTTAGAACAAGCTTAGCAAAACACAGAGACCGCGGTTCAATCCCCCAGCACCACATGCCAGCCAGCCCCGCCCCCTGGTGGGCTGAGCTGGCCACACACACACACACACACACACACACACACACACACACACACAAATATAAAAATAAATAAATAAATACATTCTTGATAAAGGAAGACTCTAGAAATTAGATTTCCTGTGTTTTGTGTTTAGATTCTGGCTCTATCATTAACTGTTTTTCCTTTTCTGTAGAATGAATAAAAAATGACCTATATCACAAAGTTATAATCACTGAAGGAACTCACAGAGCACTTTGTATGGTACCTTGCACTTAACAAGACTTTTTTTAAAAAAGGAGACAAGCAACAGCAATACAAGTAGTTTCATGGAACATGCTAGGAAAACCTTTAACTATGGCACTTCTCTCTTGCCATGTAAAGTTCATTTCACTTGTGTCTTGGACAAGCATGACCAATTTTTCATTAGGGTCTAGTCATGTTGAGCATGCAATAAGAAAGTACCCTACATATTTCAATGCTAATACGTGGTATGGTTTGGTGGCACCCAAATGTTGGGAGAAGGGATCCAGTGTGGCCCTCTTGGGTGCTGGATTGGATTAGAACCCCATAAGAGACAAATCCTTGTATGATAGGGGCAGGGGCAAAGAATGAAGGAGGTAAAGAAATGGAAAAGATGGAAGACTGCAAGGACAGAAACAGAAGAGAATGGAAGGTCAGGAATTAGTGGAGGTCACCTTACAGATACTTGATTTGTCCTGGAGAAATGAGATGTACTAGATTTCACTTCCCCATGCCCTACTCTTCCAAAGCCCTCAAGAACTTTTACTTTGGGGGTGTCCAGGACATTGGGGAGTTTTGAATCAAACAGAGAGCTGGCGCCTTGGACCTCTTGGGAGTGTGTCAAGACTCCCTGGTTACCACGGAGATAAGCTGCCTCTGGCCTTAGAGACTCCCCCAGGATTGGAGGCCCCTTCCCCACACTTTAGCCTCCCTCAGGCATAACACAGGGACCCAGGAGAGTGAGAAGTGAGAGACGGGGAGAGAGAGAGAGTGCAAGGTGCAAGCCAGTAGCCCATGCCGGCCAGAGCAGGAGCTGAAAAAAGGGGACAGAGGTGACCTTCCAGGACGGAACAGAGTTTAGAAGTCTCAGGCTGTGAGCAGGGGGCACCCAAGAATCAGGAAGCAAAGTAGGTCTTTGCAAAAGGCTGGAGAAGCCCCTCGCCTCCCTTCAGCCTTCCCTCTTGGATCCTCTGGACAGCAATCCCAGTGGAGAGACAGGCAGGGTTGGCTAATTGCTGGTTGTTGGGAGGTGCTGCAGAGACTTGGAGGGAGATATTGTCTTGAGGGAAGGTGGCTGGTGTAACCTAGAGGTTCTTGTGGCTTCACCTGAGGCAGAAAGGCTAATTGCCACCCCACACAGGTGTTCTGGTCTGAGGTTGTCAGAAGCTACTCAATTTGGGCAGTCAGGATAAAATGTCTCAGACTCTGGACATGGGCAGACATTGAGTGAATCTCTAAGTAGCCTTTCTTGTTGAAAGGTGCCATATTTAAGAAGGCCTTGCAAACACAGAGTGAAGGGACAGGCTGCCCAGGCCTTTATCTGGAGGCTTGTCAGTTCAGGAGGAAACTTTCTCCAGACGTGGATATGGGAACGGGGCTGGAGAAGGAGACAGCTAAGGCAGAGTTGGAGTAGAGCAGATAGGTCTAGGATGTGGGAGGGAACAGAGTGGGCATGGGTAAACTGAGGCACGATCTGAGGACAAAGGGCTGCTTTCAGTCTCTCTCACTTCTTCTCTCAGTTCCCAAAAAATAAGAAACCAAAACTCCAAAAATAGAGAACTTTATTGTCAGGGACAAGTATATAGGGAGGGCAGGGGATGTGGGGCCCAGCCCCAGGACCCTGGGGTGAGGAAGGGGTTAATAACGTACATTATATATGGAAGGCACATGTGGGGGGGCTCGTCTCCCTGGCAGGTTTCCCACCTGGTTCCCCACCAGGACCCTAGGTCTTCCTGTTTCCTTCCAAAGAATCATCCATGGCTGGTCTCAGATAGAGCCAGGTCTGGAATAGACCTCTTCCCAGTTTCCCCACCTGCTTTGGTCTCCAAACACTGCTCACCAGCCAGCAGTCCCCACCTGCAAGACCCAGCAGCTGGCTCCCGGTCCTCGGATCTGATAAGTCCCAGGCCTCTCCCCAGCGGTGGGGGCCAGGGCAGAACCCCAAACACACCTCTCTCAGTTTCCATTTGGCCTAATTCCCATGCCTGGCAAGTCAGCAGGGTTGTTTCCGAGGCCTCAGCAGCCCCAGATTTGTGCCTCCACCCCCACTACCCCTCAGGCTGGACCCCAGTGGGCTGACAGGACAGGAGTCCTGCTCCATCACTCCCACACCTCAGTCCAGATAGCCCCTTGGTAGGGGTGGGATGGGGGCTGGGGTGTGCTAAGCCGCAAAGGCTGGCCTACCTGCTTGCTGGGGTATTTGGGGGGGTTGGTGCGGTAGCTGTAGTCGGAGTACTGCTCGGAGCCTGTGGACGTGGTGTCCCCAGTGCCCACAAATGTGTTTGCAGGCGGCAGGTCCTGCACCACCTGGTGCTTCTTGGAGGCCGAGGGTGACTGGGGCTGCAGTTGGATGGAAGGTAGTGGGGAGTTAGAGCGGTAGTGGCGGCCAAGGTCAGGGCTGCCTGGTGGGTAGTTGAGGGGCAGGTGGATTCGAGGACTGTCCCCAGGAGCGTCACTCATCAGGTTGAACTTGAGGGACTTCTGCAGCCCAGCCTCATCTTCATCCTCCACTGGCTTCACTGGCTTTGGGGACTTGCTCTTCTTGCCCTTGCTTTTGTTTCCCTTTGAGGCTTTGCCGCTGGGCTTAGGGGCATACAGGTCTTTGGTCTCCTTCTTACCAGCCTGGTAGCCGCTCTTGGCCTCCCGCTGCCGGCAGTAGCGCACAAGCACAGCGAGGGCAATGAGCAAGGCCACAGCCACCACGCCAGCCACAACACCAAAGAGGATGTTGCCACGCTGCTTGGAGCGCTCATATTCTGGGTCCCCAGCAATGTCGATATCCAGTGGCGTGTCCAGGCTGTGGCCCAGGAGGGTCTCCAGTAGCGTGCGGTTGGCTAGCGTCTCATTGACATAAAGGTGGACCAGGGCTGTGCCATAGCGTGGGGGTTTGCCACGATCACTGACCTTTACCACAAGGCGGTGCAGCCCATGGTGGCGCCGTTCAATTTCCTTCTCCAGGGTGATGGCACCTGAATGAGACCCAATCTGAAAGAGTCCGTAAGGGTTGCCACCAGCAATGCTGTAGATCAGCTCAGCATTAACACCAGAGTCAATGTCCTCAGCTGTCACTTGGCTGACTGTCTCACCGAGACGTGTCTGGGGGGTCAGCAGCCGGTGGGACGTGTTGGAGGGGGCCGTAATGAAGGGTGCATTGTCGTTCTCATCTAGCACATTGATGGTGACACCAACATAGGCTGAGCGAGGTGGGACACCACCATCCACTGCCTTCAGCTGAAAGGTGTAGGTGCTCTGCTGCTCTCGGTCAAAGCTCAGACTGGACAGGATCGTGCCTGTGCCATTCTGGATAACAAAGTCGCCATTGTCCTGTTCCACTGAGAGCTGCACCCGGGCATTCTCCCCCTTATCCCCATCAATGACAGTCACCATGCCTACTGGACTCAGCGCTGGCATGTTCTCCATCACTGAGAAGTTGTAGCCACTCAGCATAAATTTGGGGTCATTGTCATTGCAGTCTAGCACATTGATGAGGACAGTGGCTGTGCCCTTGAGACTGGGGCTGCCCCGGTCAGCTGCCACAACCTTCAACTCATAACTGTCCCTCTGTTCCCGATCTAGGGATGTCTTCACCCGGATCTCTCCATTTTCGGGCGAAATACTAAAGAGACCCTGAGCAGCCGGCTCAGGCTCCAGAGAGTACACCAGTTCTGCATTAGAGCCAGAGTCAGCATCACTGGCAGTGACCTCAGCTACGACTTCACCGGGCTTGTTGTTTTCTGGGAAGGAAACCTCAGTGACACTCTGGGTGAAGACAGGTGCATTGTCATTGATATCTACCACCTGCACCTTGAGGGAGTTGGTACTGGAGAGTGGGGGGTTGCCAGAGTCCACAGCCACGATCTCAATGGTGTAGTCCTTGACCTTCTCATAGTCCAGCGGGGTGGTGGTCTGCAGGAAGTACTTCTTCTTGCTGTCACTACCTGTCTCGCTGGCTTGGCGGAGCTGGAAGGGCACATCACCTGCTACCACACAGGTCACAGCTGCATTTTCTCCCTCGTCTCGGTCAGATACCTGTACCAGGGCCACAGCTGTCTCTTCTGCCACATCCTCTGAGATGTTCGCCATCCCATCTTGATGGGTCACAAGCCCTATGCCTCGGATCTCAATGGTCGGGGCATTGTCGTTCATATCTTTCACAGTTACGACCACCTGGGCACGGGCACTCTTTGGGTTGGCACCTCGGTCCTTGGCAAGAACTGAGAAGCGCAGGGTGCTTAGGTCCTCACGGTCCACGGGGCCCTGGACAGTGATAAGCCCAGTGTTTCTGTCCAGGCGCAGAAGACGCCTTACCACTTCAGGCGCCTGGTGGAATGTATAGTCAATCTCAGCGTTTGCACCTTGGTCTGAGTCATTGGCCTTCACCTATAGGATAGGAGCAAGAAATCCGGAGAACAAGAAAGGGTTATACAGAGATGGCCAGTGAAAAGATGTCTGTGAACAGTGAAAACAAGTATATCAGAAACAACAAATCCAACTGAGCTGGAGATATAGCTCAGTAGCACAGCATCTGTCTGGCAAGTGAGGGGTCATGAGTTCAATACCTGGTACCAAAAAACCCCAAAAACAACAACAAAAAACCAACCAAATTCAACGGAGTGCCTTTTTTTTTTTTTTTAACCAGGGGTTGAACTCAGGCCTTTGCGCTTGCCGGGCAAGTGTTTATTCTACTGAGCCATCTCCCCAGCCTCCTAAGTGCCTTTCCAAAAGCAAAATAGGTACTGTCTTCTCCTGGGTCTTGTCACTCTGGCAGACCTTACTAACCTATTTTCCTGGATAGCCCAGATGCAGCCTGCAAATCCTCAGCCACAATACACACCCAGTGGAGATGGATCAGAGCAGGGTTAAAGTCCACATCACATTTCTGTTCTGGTCCAACCCAGCATGGGGATGAAGAAAAACTGGCAACAAGGTAAGCTCTTTCACTCAATCAAACTGGCCTTCAACCCTCTAAAGGTGGGCACTTGTGTAAGCAACAGCATGGGTATGTATGTGTACATATACCTTTGTGTGTGGCTGTGTCTTTAGGGGTTGTTATGCATGAATGGAGATGTACAGGCAGAGGGGATTTCTTTTGAAAGCGGCCAGGTAGGGATGTGGGTCAGAGGAAGCACTCCCAGTCAGGCCCAGCCACTGCTCTGTCAAACCGGGGAAACCTGTTTTAGCAGCTCCTTCAACTGCTGGCTGGCAAAGGCACCAGTGTGAAGAATCTGGCCTGAGCCTGAGGCTGAGAGGGAGGAGTTGGTGCAGGCCACAGAGCCTGCTGGCAGCGGGCTGGGCTCCCAGTATCAAACAATGAACTGTCTGTCCCTTTGCAGTGGGCACACCCTCCCACGCTCATGCCGACGCACTGGCCCTAGTCTATACAAACAGGGTGGTAAGAGGGCAATAGGAACCAGGTGCAACCGGCCATGAGATACAATGCATCAGGAAGAAATGGAAAGGCTGGATTAGGTCGCTGCTTGAAAGCATGTCATGCAGGGTAAATGTGAGACACAGGCATACTTCGGCAGTCTCTGGTGGAGCAAAACAGAAATCTTGGGTTCAAACACCAACTCTACTGTTTCTCAAATGACCACATGAGTCTGGGTCAGGTATTTAACTATCCCAAGCCTCAGTTTATAAATGTGTAAAAAAAAAAAAGAATAATAATAGAATTTATTTCACAGGATTATGGCGAGGATTAAACGGGATTACGGGAAAATGCCTACCAATGTCTAGCACATGGAAAGTGCTCCCTGAATAGTATTCATTTCTCCTTTTGTCTATCCATCTTCCTATCCTTCTTTCTACCTACTCATCCACCCATCGATCATCCTGTCTGAAAAGTCTGAGCAGGCTAGTGGTCTTGTAAATGAAAGCTTGTCTTTTTTCCTTCTGTGTGACAGGAATTTCTTCTGTACCTGCTAGGGATTTTTCCACAGAGAAACTTCTGGGCAGGGTTTCTCAGGAACCCTGGTGCTCATTCCTATCTGTGAGGGCCAAACCTTCACTATTTCTCCTACGGAACTGCAATTTCTGTCACCAGCTGTCCAGATGCTCTCCACTGTCTTTGTTTCTAGATTGACTTCTTATCTGCCTCTACCTATCTGTCTTTGTCTCTTTTCCTCTTTCTATAACTCTTGGCTTCTGTCTATCTGCTTCCCATCCCTTGCTCAGTTCTGATCCTGCCTCTTCCACTGCCAGGTCTCTCCCACCCTCTCTTTTCACCTGTCGACCTCTTAAGCTATTCTCTCTCTCTCTCTCTTTTTTTTTTTAACATTTTTTTTCTTTTTGGCAGAAGCAGGGATTGAACTCAGACCCTTGCTCTTGCCAGGCAAGTGCTTATTCTACTGAGCCATCTCCCTGGCCCCTCAAGCTATTCTCTACCTTCTCCTACTACATCTCACTGGAGGACATAAAGCCATTACACACATAGGCTCTGAAACCAACCCATGGGATACAAGCAAAAAGATGAACTCTGAGCGTGTAGGTGTGGTATCATGCAAGTTTCTTAATATCTTAATCTCTATGGGCTCAGATTCTCATCTGTAAAATGCGGATAATGCATACTCACCTGGTACTGTAAGGACCAAATGATATAATATACATAGTGTGTTTAGAACAGTGCCTGGCACCTAGCTTATTATTATTTACCATCCCGACTATCTGTCTCCTTTACTTTTCTCAGCTTCTTTTCCAGATTCCAATCCACCAGCTTCTGAGAAAGATGGAAACACCCACCCACCCTTTCCCCAAGACCTAGGACGAAAGGGTCTCTCAGGCAGAGAAAAGGTGTCTAGGGCAGCTCAGTTCTTCTCAGCTCCCTCATATCAAAGACAGAGGCAGCTTCAGCTGGTGGGGAAGGAGAAAGGAGGGAATGGCCTGAGGCCAGTGCTGAGATGACAGTGGGAGATACACCCACCTGTCTGTGAGGACGCTTTCTTTGCTCCCTCTCAGGCCCCAGCTCCAGCAAGATGCCCAGCCTCTAGGGCAGTTCCCATGAAGATAGGTGCTGAGAATTCCACAGAACCAAGCGGCCCCCCACCGTCCCCTGTACTGTGCCAAGCACCCCACACCCATGGGTTCCCCATGCCTAGGGGAGGAGGCAAATGTAAACACCCAAGCGTGGCTTTTTAGAACTTGGAAGACATAACTGGCTACAATGATCTCATTTGACTTTGTTGGTAAGGGGCATGGTGAGCCTATGTCTCCCGTTCCAGGAAAATCCATCTGCCTAAAGAGAGCCCGACACTTGTTGGAAAGATATTCCCCTCTCAGGAGAGTTCTATCACATAAAATGTGGCTCACGCCCCACCTCAGCTTCCCTGGCTTTGAGAAGGTGCTCCCTGGACTTGGGCCCGGGCATGTGGGCATTTCTCAGAGGTTTCCCTTCCTTGCTCTGACTGTAGTGGGATACTTATTCAGAAGCTATGTCACTGTCATTTAAGTAGCTTGATAGTGAGAAATAATGCCACCAATTAGAGGGGAGGTGGTAAGATGGTCTGGCTGGGGCTGGGGAGAAGGGGGTCTCACCCCAGTATTTGGTATTTTTTTCCCCTAACTGAAAAGAACTCTCACTCTTTGGGGTGGGATCCTATTTCTAAATTTGAGTCAACCTGACAGTTAGAGGGGGCCTCTCACCTGGATGACTGAGTGGCCTATGGGACTGTTCTCAGATAGCTCAGCCTCATAGGTAGGCCGCTCGAACTTGGGAGCGTTGTCATTGGTGTCGAGCACAGTGACACGCAGCAGGGCACTGCTGGCACGTGGGGGGCTGCCACCATCCTGCACCCTGATGTTGAGGTCATAGGAATCCCGGCGCTCTCGGTCCAGGTTGCCCATCACAATGAGCTGTGGCTGCTTCTCCTCCTGGTCCTCGGCTACCTGCAGCCCAAATAGCTCCTGGGCCTCAGGCTTGGCTTGCAGCTCATATGAGGCCACGCCGTTGGGGCCAGTATCGCGATCGGTAGCCAGTGGGATGGGGAAGAGTGAGCCGATGTTCGTATTCTCGGGGATTGACAGAGTGATGACCGGTGAGGAGAAGTTGGGCGTGTTGTCGTTGATGTCCTGTACCTCTATCTGGCCCTCTAGCAATCGGGGGCTGCCATTCTGCATGAGGTCCGTGATAGACACCTCAAACTCCAGGATGCAGGGCTCACCAGGGAGCTGGTTCTGGCATTCACGGAGCCCCTCACGGTCAATGGAGGTCTCAGTGGTGAAAATGTCGCCTGTCTTGCCTTCCACTCGAAGATATGGGGCACCTACCTCTAGTTTGTACAGGTGGCCCACATCTGGAAAACCATAGTCAGCTGCGAGGCTCCCAATGAGGGTGTTGGGTGGCTGTTCCTCCAGCACCTTGTACACTACCCGGGTGACCTGGCCTGCAGATGGAGCCAACAGGAGCAACAGGACCAGCAGCAAGGGGGGCAGCAGCAAACACCGTCCCCCAGGGCCGGGGCTGGGCCTCAAGAGCCCCATCCTGGCACGTTTCAGAATCAGGAGGGCTGAAAGGAGAAGAAAAAGAGAAACCATCAGCTTGAGGGACCCTAAGTGCTGTCAGAGCTGGCCCCCTCTTTTCCCTCTACCATCTATATGCTATTATTCCACAAAGAGTCAGCCTCAGCCCAGAAACCCAATTCAAGAACCCAGAGCCCAGCTTCCTGAGTCTCACCCACAGCAGGGTGTAGCAGCTGTGTCTGGCCCAGCTGGAGGAGCTGGTAGGAGGCCTGTCAGGTCTGGAGCAGCGCCCGCCCATGCAACGCCCTTACCACCTGACGTTCCTGGGTCCCAGCCCTTCCTCCTTCCCTCCCTCCCTTCTCACAACTCTGCCGCTCTGGCTCTGCGCTTTGCCCAACACATCCTTCTCACCAGCATCCTGCCTTAGTCACCCATGGTAATTACCCTGATACTGAGATAGAGAGCGGGAACAAGACGGGTTAGGCCTTTCACACCCCCAGCTGGAGCCCCTGTCAGCCCATCCTGGTAGGAAAAGAGATGCAGGTACCCAGGGTCATTACTGCTCACACTGGGTCCACTCAGATCAGATCAGCTGGATCGTTAAGGGAAGAGGTCTCCCTCTCTCTCATTTTTTTGGACACAAAAACATTTTGGTGTGTAATCCAGGCTGGTCCTGAACTCATTAACTCATTAGGTGGCTTGCACTGGCCTCGAACTAGTGCTGATCCTCCTGCCTCCACTTGCTGAGTGCTGGCTTACCAGTGTATACCACCACACCGGCTGTCTTTTTCCTCCGAGATGACAAGGCAGTGCATCTGAATGAGGTACAGCATCTGAAATTCCCTCTGACAATAATCATCCATAGTATCCCCTGTTCTCCACGCCCCGGGAGAGCCAACTTGAATTGGACACCAGTCAAGGCTTATGAAAATAGCTGAGGTTGAAGAGTAGGTGTCAGCCTCCCCAACTTCCCCCACAAACACGTGCCTTGGACCACACGTGCCCATGAGCACACTCGTACAGGAACAGTTCCCAGGGCTCCTCTCTTCTCTGCCTGTGGCCATGGGCTGGTGCATGGAAGGAGGCAGTAGAGGTCAAGACTGGGGTCAGGACCGTGGTCAGGGCTGGCCCTCAAATTGGTTTTGGGAACTGCCCTGGCCTGTCCTCCGCAATTAGGAGCCCAGCAGGTCTAACTAGGACCGAGCAGGGATGACACCACCAGCCTTCTCCTGACCCCTCCCCAACCCCCACTCATACATTCGCTGGGCTCCAGAGGTCACGTGGCTCCTATTTGCCCTCTCCTTACATACAGCCAGCTGCCACTGCACTTCTGCTTTTCCTTTCCCACCCCTAAGTCCCTCAGTTAGAGCTCTGCAGGCCCCAGCCAACCCCAAGGTGCACCCACAGCAGCTGTCACCTCCCCACCAGGCTATCCACTTAACCCTAGCCAGACCTAAGGTCACCTACGTCCCAGTCGTGGTTATTCCCTCTATCCAACAGAACCATGACCAGCCCTTCTTCTATCCAAATCCAGAGTCTCTGGCCCAGTGTTTTCTGTGGAGTCTCCAGTTTCAGTCTGTTTTCTGCACTTCCCCTCAGTGGGCCTGAAATACTGCCCCCCTTCCCACACAAGCCCTGTCACTGACCACACCCATCCCTCTGAAGGGTTCTGCCCCCTCCCCAAAGTCTCTCCAGCCCACAGTGACCTCTTCTTCCTCCAACTCACAGCCACTTATTGTCTGCTCCACACTGAAGACAGTGACTCATGGGCTGCCTGGGACACCACCCACCTGTTGTGCAGGTCCAGTGTTGCGTACCTACTGTCTCCCCAGGCAGATGCCAAGTGTCCTGAAGGAAGAGGCTGGACTTTGCACATACCCTCGCCCCCACCCCCACACAGCTCCACAAAGCTGGGCACGTGGTAGCTGCTCACTCATGCATTCAATGAATGCTTATTGGGCACTAACCGTGTACCAGGCTCTGTCCCAAGCACCAGGACACTGCAGTCAAGACTGGCCCAATCTGTCACGACAATGGCTTTAGCTCAATGGCTAGCTGTTAGTTTTGCTGGATTGTCTCTGGACCCCCTTGATATATGTAAGGCAGCAGAGTAGAGAAAAGTCAGGGTTGCAGCATGGCACAGTCTGAGGGAAACTCCAGCAGCCGACTTCCTGGCTCCATGATAGAAGCGAATGATGCAGAACATCAGTTTTCTTATCTGTAAAATGGGGATAATGCTATCTATATTCTAGAAGGCTTGAGATAATTTAGGCTAAATGCCTGACACAATTTAGGTATTTAACAAATATTCCCTCAAAACACAGCATACATTGCAGCTATGGGCCTGTTTGGAAAATTTGCTAATATCTGTCTTTTTTACAAGACAGTGAGCCAAAATTGCAAGGAGCTTCACTGTGTTTGCATTTTCAGGAGGTAGCAATGCAGCTGGGGCATAGTAGACAGTCAATAAATACTTCTTTTTTGATCTTCCTGCCTCAGCCTCCCAAAGGCTGGGATTACAGGTGCAACCCACCAGGCCTGGCAATAAATAGTTCTTGAGCAACTGTGATTATCTTAGTACCTTGATTTTAACCCACCTAGCGCTTGCTGTACGTCACTGCTAGTTTACTTATTTACATGTCTCACTCCACTAGGCTAGCAACAAGCTGAATAAAATGTAAATCTTTACTGGGTGTGGTGTTGCATGCCTGTGACCCCAGCACTTGGGAGGCTGAGGGAGGAGGACTGCCTTGAGTTCTAGGCTGGCCTGAGCTCCATACCAGGGCCCTGGCTCAACCCACCCTCCCATAAGCCTTCTCCACTTTAGGCTAACAGTAGACCCTCAGCAAATGCTCATTAAAGGTATGGGCTTCTTACACAAACTCCAAATGCTTTGTCTTCCCCATGCAGGCTTCTCCAAACCGAGGCCGCTCCCTGGCTACTCCTTAGCACCACAGTACTCGATCTGTATAAGGCCATTATCAGATTAGTGTGTGGGTTTATTCTCAGCTCCAACCTTCATCTCTTTAAAGGAAAGGAGGATTTATCTGATGTTCCATTTGGATCCTCCAGCCGCCTCCCCTCTACCTGTGCCTACCTGTGCAGGTCTAGTACAGGGCTCATCTTACCACACCAGCATGAACTCAAAACACAACCCCAAAGGACTGTTTAAAAAAAGCCCCATTTCCATCTGGAGACCTTGTAGGCCACCACGCTGCTCTGTACACACAACATGAGCTCTTTGTGCTCCCTGATCCTCTGTAAATTTTGTCAGGGTAAAAGTTACACAGGAAGCTCACTGGATTACCCTAGACCCAGTAAAATAGGAAATACAACAGAGCTCCTAGCCGCTATGTCCCCCTCTAGAACAAGGATAGCTTTGCTGTGGGGGGCACATTTTTTATTAAGAAATTTATAAAACTATCATACAAATTTTTTTTTGCCAGAAAAAAAATGTCTGCTCAACAAATTTTGGCTTCAAATTTAGGGTTCATGGTCTGGCAAAGCCAGAATGACTTTGATCTTGTTGCCACTTCAAGAGCTACAAATCAAACCCATATTTTGAGGTTCCCTTCCCATCTCAGGGCCTAACCCCGCCAATCTCCGAGGCAGCACCCTCACTACAGAACCCCCCCATCCTTCTTTCCATCACTCCTAGGCAATTAGCTCTAGCCAGCAGGAGACGAAGGACTAATAAGGACTAAGACAGTCATCTCCCAAAGGGTAAAATTCAAGACAAGAAGTGGGTGGGGTTGGGGAGAGTTGTCCCTGGAGGTTACAGTAGTATGGGAGAAGCCACAGTAGAGATAGGGTTGTCCAAAGTGGGGGGAAGGAGGCTGGGGAGATAGTTCAGGGGCATAAATGCCTGCCTGGCAAGCACAAAGTCCTGAGTTTGATCCTCAGTTAAAAAAAAAAAAAAAAAAGTAGGGACAGGACTTGTGGAAGGGTTAGACCTTGAAGCACCTGGAGAACTCACTCTCTCTCTCTCTCTCTCTCTCTCTCTCTCTTCTCTCTCTCTCTTCCCTCTCTCTCCTAAAAGGATTATCTGGCCTCACCCTTAGGATTTTTTATTAGAAAGCTGGACCTGGAGAAATATACAGGGCAACCAACACAAAGGCCCCAGCCAATCTCCGAAGGAATTTAAGATAAACCAGGTTCACTGAGTTATGAGCCTGAGACCCTGCAAGCCACCATCAGCCTCATCATGATGGTCACTCACTGCCACCATCACCCAGCAAAGGTTTTCCCACCTCCCAGGCTGTAAGCCTCTGAAGAGGAGGCTGTTTATTATTACAGCCCCTCCCATTTTAGACATGATCAAATTTAGACTCAAAAAATGTTTATCGACCTAGGTGGAAGAAGTAATAAGAAGAGCCAGGATCTGAGAAACAGAGTGCCTCTTCACACCCAAGAGCCTGGGTAAAAGGCTGAATTCAAGGGAACCTATGGAAATTCCTGGGATGGGCCAGGGGGCAAAGGGAACACAAAGGCCTGGGCTTCCAGCTGCATCGAGGCCTCCCAGAGTATCGAAGCTCACCCAAAGGTCCACAGAAAGTCATGTGGCCGGCCAGAAGGAAGCAAGAACAGCGACTCGGCCCCTCCCTGTCCTTGCCCCCACACTGTGAACTTTGTCCCCAGCAGTTGATTCTGGGAGTTGTTAGTCTGAGGCTTAGTCTCAGGTGGCTGCCTCTGAGAGACGAACCACCTTATCTGTGCTTCTCCAGTTAAGTCTACCTTCTTGGGCAAAGGCACCTTACCTCCACCCAGCGACAAGGGTGCCCACACCCTGACAAGCCACAGCCTACACTGGAACAGGCACAACCACCCATCTCCCTTGGTCTGAGAACGGAGGTACAGAGGTGAAGTTTTAACCAGTACCTTCACTTCCAGACTCTGCATGTGCGTGTGTATGTGTCACACACACACACACAGAGAGAGAGAGAGAGAGAGAGAGGATGTGTGTGTACACACCAAGGTCCACTTCTTGTTGACTACCATTGCAGGAGAGCTATCATTGCCCCAGTGACCAGTTCAATTCCAAGGCCCCACCCTCACCCCAGCACTATTACACAACAGCCTCTGCTGCCAGGGTACAAAACACCAAGCAACAAAAGGAATGAATGGCTAGTTTCTGAGAGCCTGAGAATGGAGGGGAAGCCAGGGGCTGTGCACAGGGTGGGGCTGTTCCGAGGCCTCCCATAGCAGAAGCGCCTAGACTTTGGTTCATCTTCCTTCTCTTCCACAACCCTCTATTTGCCTGTGTAGGCTTCTCAGAACTGAATTTTTGAGCCAGATTGCTCATTCTATCAATTCTTAGCTGTGTAACCTTAGCCAAGTTAATTCATTTTTCTGAACCTGTTTCCTTGCTACAAAATGGAAATAATAAATTCTGCTTCTTGAAGATATTGGGAGGGCCACGGAGATGGCGCAGTGGAATAAGTGCTTCCCTGGCAAGCACAAGGGCCTGAGTTCAATCCCCGGCTCCGCCAAAAAAAAAAAAAAAAAAAGATATTGGGGAGGATTATATGAAAGCTAATGCATCTGAGGTTTACACTTTATGTGGTAAAGTACATGTAGGTTTAAAAGTCTTCCAACCTGGGATAGAGCATTTTACTCAAAGCATGGGGCACAAGGTAGGTGTTGGTTGGTTTAATGGTCAAATGAACTAATCCCCTAACAGCCAGCAAGTCCTATGAAGGCAAAGGTGGTGTGTACCTTACTACTGCATTCTCACCACCCACGTGGGTTCCGGCAGGTGGAAGCTGCTCAGTACCCTGTTGAATAGAACTCCTCTCTGCAGCACCAGGCATCCATGCGCACAGTAGGGGCAGTGCTCAGCTCTATCACAGGGCCTCCTCCTTCCCCACCTCCCCTCACCCAACCTTGATTTCGTCTCTCTAGAAGCTCCTCCTCATCCTGATAGGTCCCCTTCCTGGCCCCTCTACTCCATTCTTACCGTTGGTGCTCACTGTCTCTTGCTCAGCTCTCTGCAGAAGCAGCTACAGCAGCAGTCCCTCTTTTAGGAGGACCAGCAAAACACCCCTTTCCAGCTGAAGTCCCTTCTGGAATTGGGAATTAGGGGTGGAAGGGGCAAGGAGAGACTCAATGCAGCCAAACCAGACTGAGCCCAGACTTCCTCCCTGCTCACCCTGCCCCCATCCCCCGTCTGCCCTGCCCTGGCCACCTCTCGGGGGCTCTTCTCAACCTCTCCCCTGGAGTCTGCCCCATGCCACTCTAGTTACTTATTCTAGCTCTTAGTTCGCTCAGACCCCAACGTCAAGATACCTCCGCTTTCGGGAGGCCCCTTTCCTGGCAGCTCCAGAGCACTGCCACAGAAGGAAGGCGCCCTGAGTGCTCTGGCACCAAGTCCTGGCCTCTGTCGGCGCAAGCAGCCCCAGTCTGCACCGCCTTGGTCAGAGGGCTCTTAGCATACACCCAGCGCGCGGAGCATCTCCTCCGAGGACGCGAGAGTGAGTGTGTGTGTGTGGGGGGGAACGGCGGTGCCCCTAAGGTTTGGCTGGAGCCACCTCCACGCCAGTGGCTCCTGGCCTCCTGGAGCCCGGGGCAAGGCGAGACTGACGCTTCGTGTAGTGAGAACGTGCCTAGGCAGCCGGCTACTTGCGTCCCCCGCTTCCCAGACAGCCGCGGGGAATCCCTGCTCCCCAGCATCTCCGGTCTCAGCCGGCCAAAGGTCCCCCGCGAGCCGGCGCCAGCGAGAGCCACGCAGCGGGCGCCGGGAGGGGGTTGGGGAGGAAGCCGGCGCCGGAATCACAAAGCCACGAGCCTGACCGGGCGGGGACATTCTCTTAAAACCGATCCTCTCGCGGCCAGAGCTAAGGGGTCCTGACCCGGTACTCAATCCTCAATGGCTGCAGCGTTGCTCCCAACCTCTCTAGCCAGAAGGCACAGCCGCTGGCCACTGCTGGAGAAACTGAGGCCAGTTTACACGAGGGCAGCCAAGAGAAGGGGTGCGAGAGCAGATCACCCACAAAATTTGTTTCTGCACATACCACATCTCCTTTCTGGCCTCTGCACGGGCCTTGCCTGTGCACAAGACTGCCCTGCAGTGGGGACCGAGCCTCCAGGTATGAGGCGGACCCAGGTGTGCAAAGGACTCAGCTGTCTAGGAAAACTCAGCTAAATGGCCTGACAAGGGTCGCAAACACCGCCTAGGGTTGTACACTTCAAAGGACCCAGGGCCCAGAGCCCCAGGGAGCGGTGTGGCGCGGCCTGTCAGGGCCAGGCTGGTTCCCGGAATACCCGGCCGGTACCGCCAGAGAGCAGGTGGGGGAGGCGCCCGCCGGGAAGCCGGTCCGGCCGGCCCCGGGGCTACTGCGGAGCGTATTATTTACAATAATAGTGTAACAGTGTAGCGAATAGGGTGACCGGCACTTGGAGCTCTCTCCGGCGACCCGGGCGGCTTCCCCCAACGGAATCTCGCCTCTGATCTCCGAACTAGAGGGGCAGAGTGTATTTGTGTGTATGCTCTGCGGGGTGTAATGTGACACTGTTAGTGTAAGGTGTGTGACACCAAATGTTAAGATGTGGGAAGCAGTGGCCAAAAGGCGATGCTGTAGGTGCCTTTTACTGTGTTTGGGTGTATGCCATCAATGTTTGTGCAGACACTAGGTTGTGACTGCCTGTGTAGTCCAAGGGGACAAGCAAGACCCTGCGGTGTACTTGTGTTCCAGCCAAGGAGTGGGTCACATAATTTATGCTAGGGTGTGTTCTTTAAGGAGTGTGTGCAGGGGGCACTCGGCAGCTGTGGCAGTCGTATATGAGAACACGGGGTCGTGTTTGTGGGTCTCCGCTGCCTAATGTTACACCCGGTTGTGTTGCTGCTCTTTATGGCCATGAGTTCTGAGTCTCTGCTGCTGATTGTGCAGACGCTGAGGCAGATTCTGAGCTGGTGACGGAGCCCCAGTGGGCGCTCGTGTGCGGGAGGTATATGTCTATCTTCACATATGTACCGATGTATGTATGCGTGTGTATGTCGGTAGTATGGTCCTCCAGGTGCCCGTGGAGAGCTGAAAGCGCCTGAGTGAGCAGAGCTATTCGCCCAACAAGTGTGTGTGTGTGTGTGTGTGTGTGTGTGTGTGTGTGTGTGTGTTGCTGTGGGTAAGGTTCCCTGCCTCAGGAAGCCCCCCACCAAACTGAAGGCCGCGCGCTTCCCCCAAGCCATCTCCATCCCCCGCGCGCCTGGAGTCTCCTCATCCCCGTGGCTCCAGGCGCCTCGGTGGGCGACACGAGGGCTGGGGTCTGGCTCAGCACCTCCTCCCCTCCGGATTTCTTGCTGTGGACCTTGGAGCCCAGAGTGCCCGGGTCACAGCCGCGCTCGTGTCCCAGCAGCCCCTGCCCCCGCCCCCGCCCCGGGCATGGCTGGGCCCCCGCGGCCTCGCTCCGCCGGGCACCCCTCCCTCGGCTCCGCCGGCCATGGCCGCCCAGGGCCCCGAGCCGCAGCCGCCTCTACGCCACCGGATCCTTACCCGCCTCGGGCCAGCACCGGCCGCCGGCCACGCTGTCCATGAGCCGCCGCTGGCCCCGGCCCGGGCTGCGGCTCGACGCGGCTGGGGCTGGCGCTGCGGTTCGGCTCCGGCTCCGGCCGGCTCTAGGCGCAGCAGCCCGGCGGCTTCGCGTCCGCGCCGCGCTCCCGCTCCCCGAGTGTGTGAGGTGGCGGCGGCGGCAGAGCCAGCAGAGAGCGGAACGCACAGCCCGGCCCGCCCCCTCCTTCTCCTCCCCCTCCCTCCCGGCCCGCACGCCCGCCTCCCGCCCGCCTCCCCGCCCCCCTCCGGCCGGGGGTGGAGCTCCCGACCGCTCGGGTCCCGCGGGGAGGGGGCCCTGAGCACAGCTCCCGAGCCAGGACCCCTCCCTTCGGCCGTCTCCCCATTGCCCTGGGCCCGATTGCGCGGATCCCCTCCTCCTCCGCTCCTCACCTTACACTTATCCCACCGAGCCTCCATGTAGCACCCCTCCCGAATTCCCCTCTGGGTCCACTCAAACACCTGTCCCCCCCCACTCTGGCCCCTGGGAAGAGGAGACCGGGAACTGACTTCCTTACAGCATTCTCCCCCGAGCACCTACCCCTCAGATCCACCCTCGTCCCGCCCGGACCCTCGAATCGCGCCGTGTCCCCCTTCCCCGCCCCGCGCGCTCGGGGAAGTCCACCCCTCCCCCCCCCCGGCCGAAGCCGCAGAGCGGTCAGCCTCGGTGGCCGCAGCGAGCCCTGGGGGTGGGGTTGTAGAGGGGTCTGTGGGGGTTGATTGAACCCAGGGGCTCTAGAGCAAGAAGGGGGATATATACAAGTATAAAGATGAAGTGACGGCGCCTGAGCTCAGGCTACTCTGGGTCCCCTGGTCACCTGTCCTCACGGTGGTGTACTGCTGTGGCCACCCACATTTACTGGCGACATACAACACGTTCATATAGAGCCACACGGGTCCCTGTCTTGCGAGGCCGAGCGGTGTCACGGCCTGTGCCACACACCTCCCAGTGCAGTGCCACACGCTCCCAGTCACACGCAGTGTCTCACACACGCCAGTACTCGGTTTCTCGCTCAGCTCTGGCTCTCTGGCACCATCTAGAGGTAGCTGAGCATCTTGGGAACTTCCTCCTGCATTCTGCGTTTGGTACCCCAGGCTGTCAAGTACCCCAATTCAGTAGGACCCTCTGCGTGCTCTCTATGGACCCAAGGGGTGTTTAGGTCAGAAGAATGAGGAAAGATGTCCGTAGCAAGGCCTGGGGCTGGGTGTGGAGAGGCCCTCATTACACATGCCTGCCCCAACACCTGAGTCCTTCCTGCCTTCCATTTCCCCACTCTTACCACTCTTTTCTACTTCTTTGCTTCTTTTTCTGCTTCCTCTTCCCAGCCCTGATCTCTCCTCATGGGACTCTTTTCAGGGTAATTGTAAGATTTGTGTCTAGCTAAAGGGCCCTGCCCAAGATCTCTCCCAAAGCAGCACCCTGCCCCCAGTCTGGACTCCTTTTCTGGCCTGGACCCTGTTCTGGCCTGAACCCTGTTCTGGCCTTCACAGTGTGAGTGTGTGTGGTGGGGGTCTGTTTGGGAGATGAAATAGGCCAGTCAAAGGAGAATGTGTGCTGCAAGTGGCTTCCCCTCCATCCTCTGCAAAGCTCATGCTTGCCCCATCATCGAGCACAGTTCTAAGGAGGGAATCGGTGGTCCAGAGAGAAGAAATCTTCCACATAAAAACTGCCCCAGCCTCCCTGCCCCCAGTGTGTGCCTGCTGCCCATTGCAGCAAATCCTCCCCAGACTGCTTGCTGGGAGCCACTCAAAGGCTCCTCTGTTCTCTCCCCCCTTGCTCAGGGCTGAGCAAGATCAGCAGCCAGCAGCGGAGCTGGGCAGGAAATGCTAATCTCCCAGATGTTCTCCTCCATCCTCACCGCTCCACAACCATCAAACCCAAATTCTCCACAAAGTAGTTGGAGCAGACCTGAGGCAGGGCAACAACAGCAGGGTGTGCCTATCCTTCTTCCATGCTTCCCACCCCTTCCTGCCCCAGCCGCCAGGCTGGGCTCTAGAGTGACCTGAGTTGGGGCAATGTAGGTATGGGTATTGGGAAAGAGGGCAGGCAAAGGAGCTGGGGCGAGGAGGCTGGTTGTGGATTAAGGGAGGTGGCATCTAAAGAGGAGAGAAGCCAGGCTCCTGGTCCTATACCAAACTGGGAGGAGAACCAGTTGGCAACTGGAACACTGAGGAAGCCTCGTGAACCTGACACAACTAAGATTCCAGCTGAGACTGTCTAGAGCACAGAGCCTGGGCGATGCTAGGCATGGGAGTCGGTGGAGGATGCTTGCTCTGATATGTTTGTAACTAGAATGAACTGTCAGCAAGAGGACTGGGGTACTGTAGGGCCCAGAACTGTAACAGAAAGGTTGTTGCCTTGGATTGCATCTGGGACAGTTACAATGCTGTGTTGTGGTGTGCCTAGAACACAGCCAGATAATCTGATCACCTGTATAATCAGATTACAAGCCATGTGTCATGTGCACGTGTATGTGTACGTGCATGTGAGCATATTAAGGCAGGGCTTACATGAAATACCATTGAGCCTGAATCTGTGGGCATGAGGCTGGCACTCCTGAGACTGGTTATAGCTGAGAAGCTACTACGTTATGATATAGTTGGGGCTGTGGCCAGATCCATCGCCTAGATCCTAGGAGATAAGAAGCTGTTGCCAGGAGCCTGTACCTGGGAAGCAGGCAGTTACCTGGAACAAGAGCAGAGCTACTATTGTATATAGGACTGTAGCTAGACTGCTATTGGTCCTGAAGCTACAGCTGTGATGACAGCATACTGGGGATTGGCTATAGCTAAGATGCTGTTGCCCAGGATTGTGGTTGGGCTGTTCTGGTGTGCAGGACTCTGGATGGGATGCTGTTACGCCTGCAGCTATGGCTCTGAAGCTCAAGTATAGCTGGGAAGCCATTTCCTGGTAATATGGCTGGACCACTGTTGTATGGGGGCTGTCGCCGAGACTCTGTTGTCTAGGAGATGAGAAGCTGTGCTCCGAGATGCTGTTCTGGGAGGCAGGATGCTACCTGCGATGGGAGCTGATCTGCTGTGGGCGCTGATCTACAGTTGTGATGAGGATGGTCCCCGAATGGCTGTCGCTGGGTGTGTGACTGGCTGGGTGGGGGAAACCAAGTGAGTCCTGCCTTGAGGTCTGGGAGATGCCAGAAGCCCCAGGCTGGGCGGAGGCTGCTGCTCTGGGGAGACCTCAGCAGCTGCTGTGCTGTGGAGCTGGGAAGCCTGTTTTCATTACTGTTTTAACTCTTTTTTTAACCTTGTTTTTCTCTCTGCTGCACTTTCGCTCACTCATTAATTTTGGTATTTTTCTCACGGTGCCTCAGCCCCTGTCACGGCTGCCATGGTAACAGGAGGCAGTGTGCACAGTGCCAAAATATCTGATCAAAAAATAACCAAAATAAGCAAACATCAAGATGGCTGTGCTAGGGGCTCTGGTCAAAGGAGAGCCAATGGCTCAGATCCAAGAAAATCTAGGCTCCCAGGGGACCCCTTTAACTCCCCCCCCTTTCCCAGGGAAGCTTTGCTGAACCTTCTAATAACCTGGAAGGCCCCTTCCCAAGGGATTCTCACAGTACATTCTCCAGGACTCTGACATTTTCTACAGTCCCTAGCCAAGAGGCAGCTTTGCCCACGTGAAAGTGTACAGAGGGGATGAGGGCTTGGACCTAGTCTTCCTAGGAGCTGACAGTTGGTATCTAAGAAGTTCCCCCACTGCCTTAGCCACATAGGTCTGCGCTCGGCCACCCACCTGCCCTTCCTTGGGCTCTCCTGTCTTCAGTTTGTTCCCCTTTCTCTAGCAGCCTCCACTTGGCCACTTCCATTTCCCTCTTTTCTAAAAAACTTATTTTTTAATTTTTAATTTTTTTTTTTTTTTTGCGGAACTGGGGTTTGAACTCAGGCCCTTGCCAGGGAAACGCTTATTCCACTGAGCCATCTCCCCGGCCCCTGTCTTTTTGAAACAGGGTCTCACTATGCAGTTCATGCCGGCCTAGAGCTCATTTTGTAGCCCAGGCTGACCTCAAACTCACGATGATCCTCCTGCCTCAGCCTTCTGAGTGCTGAGATTACAGAAACGTACCACCATACCTAGCCTTTCCCTCTTTTTAAAGCCCAGAATCCTTGATGGGATGGACAGAGGGGAAGAAGGTGCCAACATCTATGCCTGCCCTGTCTCCACTGCTCAGAGGAGATGTTAGGGAGGTGGTCATAAAAGCACTTGATATCCCTGGGCCTCTGGCCACCTCTAATTACCTGCCTAGGAAGATCCCAAGCATCACTGAGCACTCACACCCTACTGGCTTCCCTTCCCATTTCCTATGTGCCCACTAGTTCCTGGGAGGCTGCCCCTCTAGTGGAATGTCCTCAGAAGGGGCAAGAGACATAGTGCCTCCTGTGAAGAAGGAAGGGTCAGAGCTCCTGGAACCACCTGCTTCCTCCCTCTTTGCCCATGGTTTGCCCTCTGAGGAAATCTGTCTAGATGTTTAGGGCCCTGGGAACTGGGAAAATGAAAAGGACCCTCAACTGTCTCAGTCCTATCACTCAGTTACATCTCTGCTCCCTGTACCATCTGCCTCCCCGCCCCCAGCAGTGAAAGTCTCACTCCCAGCACATCTCCACCCCCTTCTGAATTGCTAGAATCACCTCCTGGTCCTCACTTTCAATTCCTACCCCCCCTTTACCCCCACCCCCAGCAGTAGTGGCCTTGGCCTCCTGGCAGAGCCTTCCTAGCTGGTTTCCATAGAAACCTGGTAGGCAGTGCAGTGCAGGAAGGGAGTGAGACAGAAGCAGGAAAAAGGGACCAGGCCTCAGGGGTAGCCCCAGATAAAGGGACTTGAGCACTGAGAGTAGGCTGGGGGGAGATGCCTCATCCAAACAGAGGGTGGGAAGTGATCTGGAGAGAGGAGAACAAAGGTAGCAAAAACTCTCCCCATGCAGTTTATTCAGTGTCCTGAGAAGACAGAGAAGCATCACCTTCCCTGGCACAGCGAGGGGAGTTGCCTGTCCCCCCCACTCCTCTAAGCTGTTTCTTTATGCAGAACTGCCTGGTGGAGGTGAATCTCTTTCCAGAACTCACCAGTACAAGCCAGGGACCATGTGGGACCTTCCTTCCCCCATGAGGTCCCCACCCTCCAGC